AAAAGAAATCTCTGCTTTTTGTACTCCAGATGGTTTATATCAATATAAAGTAATGCCGTTTGGAATGAAAAATGCCCCGGCTACATTCCAACGTCTTGTAAATAACATTATTGCTGACCAGGAAAATTGCAGCGCCTATATTGATGATGTAATTATTTACAGCCAAGATTTTTCAACTCATGTAAACCAATTAAGATCTCTGTTTAAAAAATTTTTGCAGGCAAATGTAACTGTAAATTTAAATAAATGTGAATTTTGTCATGCAACTGTGGAATATTTAGGTCACATAGTGGGTCAAGGTCATGTAAAGCCTGTTCAAGCTAAGATAAATGCTATTGTATCACTTCCACCACCTATATAAGGGATTGACAGGCACGGACGAGGACAGACAGACGGAGATTTGAGATAGATTTTCTTAACATTACGAGGCGTGTTTTATTGTTTGTGTATTTGTGTGCTCCTACTTATATGTGTTTATTTCGTATTATTTATTGGCATCATTATTTCTAATTGTATTAACTGTGTACCGGTACGAGATCCACCATACTGTAAGTTGAAGATTGTAATTTTATTTTATTTTTCTTTTGTAATTATCTTTAGACATAATAAATCTTATTAATTGTAACTAGAAACTGTTTTGGGTTGTATCTTTAATATTGTTGATTCTGTGGTATCGTCCTTTGTTACGCACTGATTACAACGAGCCAATTAAAATTAAAATAGGAGATTAATTTCTCCCAATACAAGTCAGTGCGTAACAAATGCATACATTTATTAATTATTTGTATTCATTTCTCAAATATTCCTTTCATGTTATAAATCTAAAAACTAGCAAATATTGTTTTTAAATTAAAAATTTTGTGTGTATTCACAAAAAGGCTTTGGCAGCCACAGAGTGAGTGCTGGCAGGCCTGGCTTAGAGCATACATAATATACATAATATTTTATCATTAATAAACAAAGTGAGTCTTATTGGGGAAATACTGTACAATTATTCTGTTAGCAGACTATATAAATTATATTTTTTGATAAAAATATGTTACTTACTCATCCTCTGTGAGGGGTTTGAACTCTGCAGGGTCTTCTGGATATTGCTTCCTACAGGCTGGACATAAACCATTCTCATCTGTTCGAATTCTGTGCCAGCAAAAACGACAAATCTAAAGGAGAAAAAAATAATTAAAATAGATATAAACTTTTGGGTACTATGTTTGTGATAATCATTTATTTTCTTTAAAAAAACACCAAAAAACTTGTAATTTATAATAGTTAAAAATTTATAGAATGTTATATTTTAAATTTAATAAGCAAACAAAATTAACATTTTACCTGATAACCACATGTGCATGGAAAAAAGCTGTGATCGTCAATCTCAAGTGCTTCCATGCACAAGGGACACTGAAATAATAAAAGGCACAAACAAATAATTATTTAATCTAAATAAAATAAACATTACTGCAATATCTTTTTTAAAAGTAAATTAAGGAAAAATCACTCAAAACATAAAAAGGAAATTAAGAAAGAGCATTAAACATAATAAATCTGTGAAACAAATATTAAGAAAATGTAATTTGCATTCATTATATCAGACTTGTACTTCAATTGATATATAGAAGGTGAAATTAATTGATAGTATTATAAATAATTGAATACAGATGGGATGCTTACTTCAGCCGGCTCATCTGACATGATTTTTCAGCAAGTAGAAAGCAACAGATTTCTGATACTGGAAAAATAAAGGTGCCTTAAAAAAATGTTTACCACAAAGTGCAACAATTTTTCATAATGGTTATGTATACTTTTTACCCTGAACTGTCAATAGCTGGATATCATGTTACCATCACATATGATGTTTTTGCTAGGCTACTTTTTAGGAGCTTTTATAGTATATATTATTAACTTGTGAAAATGAGCCATTGTCACGTGAACCGATGCACAGACACTTGGAAAATTTTAGCCTTTTCCCGTAAGCAAAACACTTTGCCAACTTGGGTCTAGTTTTCTAGTGATCAGAGGCTAATTTCCTGTCTAGACCCAAGGTTCAAATGTTTTTGGATCAGAGGAAGGTTTAATTATGTTTATCCTTACTTCTTGTAAGCCAAATAGTAGTTATATTACTTATGTAATTTTCTGTTATGACAATGGCCAATTCAAAGTAAAGTACTTAAATAAAATATGGAACCCCTCTTCCTCCCCCATCATCAATCTAAGACACTTTAGCCATACATTGTCCTTTAAATTCATGACCCCCACCTCCTCCCTAGATGTGTGATGTCATTTATGAATGGCATCTATATTCTCACAGGCAAAAAAAAAAAAAAAAGTGGTGGCCATTCATAATCATAGGTTGCAGTTGGAACATTTATTTGGTTGCAGTTGGAACATTTCTTTAGCCTTACATTGTCCTTTAAATTCATGACCCCCCCCTCCTCCCTAGATGTGTGATGTAATTTATGAATGGCATCTATATTCTCACAGGAAAAAAAAAAAAAAAAAAAAGTGGTGGCCATTCATAATCATAGGTTGCAGTTGGAACATTTATTTGGTTGCAGTTGGAACATTTATTTTTGGCCCAGTTCTCATTTTCAGGGGCCTCAAATTTAAATGTGTGGACTTATTCAAATTCAATAATTCATAAGTATATTCTTATATCATTAATACAGTGTTTCTCAACCTTCCTAAAGTCGCGACCCTTTTTTTACAGTTCCTCATGTTGTGGCAACCCCCCAAAAAAATATTATTTTCGTTGCTAATTCTTAACTATAGAGTATATGTGTTGGCCGATTTTGAGTTAGTGGTAAGGCCAACGATGTGTTCCATGGTATATAGGTCACGGAGGTTCCCCCAGGTCCACTTCCGTCTGCAGTGCCATACTAAAAAGATTTCAATGTTTGTATTCACATAATGCAAGTTATTGTTTTCTTATTTCATATTTTTCGTTAAATTCTGGAGGGGTTCTGGGAAGGGGTCCCCAGATGATTTCTTTGCTCTTTTTTTTTGGTATTTAAAGTGAGGGCAGGGACCCCTCCCCAGTCCCCCTAGAAGATCATTCCAAATGCAATTTAAGCAGTAGTCTCCCTTTTGTTACCTAAGTATCAACATAGGGGTATTTTGATATCAACTAATCAAAATACAGCAATTTTGGCGGGCGTCTTTTTTCCCCACCCGTGTTGGGTCTTTGGGTCTTGGGATATCAGCCATGATGTTTTTTTTTTTCCTTTCTTTTGAAATGTGTAAGTTGAATTTTAATACAAATTAATGGAAATTTTTTTAAAATTTACTTTATATTAACCGTAACATTTATGACGTGAATGATGCTAAAAAAAAGAACAGGAATGTTATAACACACATCATTCGGGTCCTTCAAAGAATAGGTCTCTTCACCCTAAGTCCAGTGTTGGGATTCCCTAAGGTGACGTCACTGCGCTTAGGGTGAGAAAACTCTTGACAAAACCCATACCGTTAACTCCAAATTTACCTGTGTTTTCCGATGGTCTTACGCGACCCCTGGAAAGGGGTCGCGACCCACAGGTTGAGAACCGCTGCATTAATAGATGCTGGACTTTTTAGAACTTGACAGAGATTTTATAAATAGAATTATATTATAGGTTTAGTTAAATATGAAATTTGATACCAACCAAGTTCTGATAATAACAAGTTACAATTGGTTCAAAATTAGCTAGGATAGACGGGACAAAATTTTTACCCATCTGGACTGAGTGAGATTGAAACATGTACTACGATGTACAGTACAATAATGGACTATTCACTATTCAGTAGTGTCAGTGTACAAAAATTCTCATTTCTCATTGACAAGATATGAATAGCTACTATGCATCGAAAAAATTATGGAGTTAAAAGGGATGCTGAGGTTCTTCAGACAATAGCTTCGCCTTAGCAGTGTTGAGCAGAGTTAATTCAGTTTCAGTTAGTAGGTGAGTTCAACATAGGTCCTACACTAGAAAAAGTTTAGCTTATCTAGTAACTGAAAGTGAAAAGTGTAAACTGTAAGTCTACTCTATGGTAAACTTGGTGGATGTAAGGGGGTGGGGGCGCTTACCAATACTGGTCAACATATATTTTTAAAGGCACAAATGTAAAGGGCGAATGTTGCAATTTAAATCAGAGTTTATTTATGTCTTAAATGAAGACATAGTAGGAACATTTACAGTTAACGTGATTACAAATATCTGAATCTGCAACTCGTCAACTGACTTCCATGATAAGTAGTTATGTTGTGATGATCACCCAAGGACATGGGGGAGAAGAACGGGGGGTTTTATTGTCAAATGGACTATATCAACAGATAGTTAGAATAGACACGAAGACAGGTAGTACACAAACTGTCAAAACAAACCTCAGAATATGAGTTAAAACCACTTCAACTCACTTAGAAATTATATTTCTCAAGCTTTGCTTATTGAGCTCTCAACGACGACACAATTGTCAGTGCGCATGCGCAAAGCCATGGTCATACCCGGATGAAAATGAGGTAATCTCGCGTGAAGTGTAGCGAAAGTCTAAATTTGGAATCCATCCTATCATAAGAGTACAGCCAGTGCCACTAGCAAAAAATGTCTTTCAAAAGGGAAGGAAATGATACTAATCTACTTTCCACATTAAGAGTAAGGATTGTGTTTGAAAACTAGTGCTGTTTGTAAAATACATCTGAATTTTATGGATTTTCCATCTGTTTAGATTAGTGATTGGAAGTATCTTAATTATTTATAACTAATTAAATTAATAATTTTACAGAAGAAACCTACCTAAGTAACAAGTAGTTATTAGAGTAGCCTACGCCTGTTACAGTTACGGCACGGTTAACGAGTTAATGCTGACAAACAAGTACACAATGATCATTATTAGAAAGCGAGAGTTGGTGCAGTCTGGACGTCCTCAAAAAGTTGGTGGGGGCGGGGGGCAAGTGAGGGGTCAGTTTAAAAAAATGCACAAATAGTTTATGAATGGCATGGCTATGGACCATGGAGATGGCAATGACAGTAGACTTAAGTAGACTAGCCTCTGCCTCTACTGCTACTAAACTAGCCTAAAGTTAAAGCAAAGCTGGAGTCATTTATTTTTGTAATGTTAAAATTAAATCCAATAATAATTAGTATTTTATTATACTTTAATTTTAATACTTCCTTATTCCTTTCACTTTCATGTTCTTTGAATTTGAAAAAACTTGTTTATTTACAATTTTTTTTATTAGGCATAGGCCATAGGTCATCTCACTTAGTCTTAGTGTCTTAGGATACCATAATTGAGGCATAATAAAGACTCTTAATAATAATACTAATTTAGTAATTTAGTAATTAATTACCCTATGCCCATGCCATAGTCATAGCCCATTAATACATTAACTTATTATATATTTAATTGGTTCAGTACAAATGTATTGTATTGAATGGGTATGAGTTTGAGCTTGGGTACCTATTCAGAATTCATGATTCATATTTTATAAATTTTATACAATTTCTTTTATTTTTTATACAATACATATTAAAAAATGATTTTTTTTTTCCATTCACGATTGAATTGATTGATCTGTAAATATGGATTTACATAATTTTAACATTTACTTTACTAAAACAACATAGACTAGACTAAGTTCAGTAAAAAAAGGGGGAAAGAAACAACCTTAACTTATCCCAGAAATAGTTAAAATTTATTAGTAATTAATTCTGAAATATAATATACAAAATATTAAAAAAAAGATTTTTCATATATAAACAACAATACTTCCATACCGGTACATTTAAAAAAGATATATATTTTTTTGTGAGACTTGCATAAATTAAATAGCTGTTTTTGTGGTTAAATTTAGGCATTTGACATGAACATTTTAAGATTTAAGCAGAATTATTCAAATACAAATACGTCTATTTTTTAATATTCAAAAGTTTGTAGTTAATAAAAATACATTTTAATACATTATAATAACTAATTTGAATAGTTTTGTTTTTAAATTATTGAAAATTCTAAAAAAAACTTAAATAAATAGAAAAATAATAATAATTAAGCTAGAGTAGAGTTTACATGACTAAATCAGGTCTAAACAAATACAAACACAGTCTAAGAATTGTCTAAGCTTAGGGGATGCTCTACTAACAATAAACAATTATTTTATTTAGTTAGACAGGAATGTTTATCACATTTAATTACAGTCTGATGCTCTTTCTTTTCGATGCATTAAAACAGCATTGAATTGGGCTCATGTTCATTAGTAAATGTAAAAAAATGTAGAGTTCCGTAAGTGTTATTTCCTTCCAGTTAGTGTAGTACTCTTTTTTATTCTCTAGTGTTGTTTAGCAAAAGCGTTGGTGTAGACACAAATTTTCGGCATGAGCTCCTGACAGATGAAGAGTGTAAAGAAATTTTCTGTAGACTGAAGACAATAAATAAATTATTTGTAAATTGCAGGTTAGCATGACATAAAAGAATAAAAGCATGATTTTATTGATCTAAGACTTATGTAACAATAGCATAACAGTTATATTATAATTTATTATATATTGATAGGATAAGAAAAAGTTTTTTTTTTTTTTTTTTTTTTTTTTTTTTTTTTTTTTTTTTTGCAAAAATAATTAATAATTATCTAGCATAAAACTAAAAGCCTAAATATTAGGCTTATAGCCTATGTATTATTCATTAATATTGCAATTATAACAAATATTATTAGTTTTTGCATCTCATTTCAGACATTTCTTGTTGCCGGCTTTTCAGAATCCAGAATATGTTTTTCTTTCAGAAAGAAATTTAGGTATGGCCTGAGGGGGGTCCCTAGTCAATATCTTCATATGTTTTTTTCCCCAAGTCTGAGTCAATTGGCAGTTAATTATCTGCACTGATTAGATTTTTTAAAAAAAAATGTTTAAAATATATGAAATAAACCCCTAATACTAATAAATTAGAGTTAGGCACAAAACAAAAAAACAAAGAAAACTAAAATCAGCTGAAACTGAAAAACACTTTTTATTTTCAAAGCAAAAAAAAAAACTCTGGGAAAATAAAATTATTATTTCAATATTGTAGCATATAATTAGGATCCTAATTTTTAATTGCACAATATATTTTGTTGTTAATTTCATAGGTCTAATTGTGTTGATACCTACGCCTAGATTTACATTGTTTGAAACTGTACTTGTGTCTTGTATTCGTACTGGTATAATGGTATGGAAACATCCATGTCTTCATCCAATGTTGTTTCAAAATCATCAGAAGAATCAGTTCGGAAGGCATTTACATTAATTTCAGGGCTTTGTAAGCTAATTTAGACTTTAAAAATGCTTTTTATAGAAACAGCCAGCTTAATTCGTATGTCAAGAAGAGAAAAAAGTGTCTCGCTCGTTTTCTTTTAAAAACAAAGTTTGTTTTTAAAAAATTAAATGTTATATATATAAAATTTTAATTTTTATAAATGAAATCCTTTTACTTTTAATAACATTTTTATTCTAAACTTAATAAAACTAATATTAAAAGAAATTAGCAAAAACGCCGGTTTTCTTTATAGTTTGATTGCACAGAGTTAAGTTAATGATTCATGCTTTGGGGATTATCTTAGACTTGGGCTGGGCGCTTTTTTTTTAAGGGGTTATAAATAATTTAAAAAAAATTGTATTCATTACATTACTAGTTTACACAAAATGTCAAATTTTAGGATCCACCAAGTTGCACCTATACTTTTTTAGCTTTTGAAGACCCATTTATTCTTACAATTCTGGCGTACAATGTACGATTTTGAGGTGTCTTTTACGATTCTACACCAAGACCTGTCACAACTACGATTTTAAAAAACCGGGTTGAACATAGATACATTTCTGTAGTTTTTCCAATTAAAAAATAATAATTGAAGAGTAAATTTTCAGTCATTAGTTTTGACCTGCTCTCTACATCCAGCAGTGAATGGATTGAGAAATACGATTGGTTTGGGAACCAGATATTATGTTTGCCCGGAGAGGGGAAGGCGGTAGTGTTAATTTGGGAGATTTTGTGCACAGGTGTGTCAAGGAAAGGTGTCTAAATATTAAAGTCTATAAAATTAACCAGAAATGTCTGCTATTTTGGCATCCAGGAAACAATTTCACATTCCCACTAATACTGGTGTTCATGTGTAGTTTATCAATGTGTTATTAAAAATAACTGAATAAAATAATATGAAATAAATAATAAAAAAGAACATCAATGTTTTGATTCTTTTTATGAAGTCAAATCACAGTATTTCCTAACTTGTCGCACATGCCCCAAAGCACATGGAATAATTTTGAAGAATATATGACATAATTTAGTCAATTTAGCCGGGATTTTCGGCCCACTGCAGTTTTTTTTCATGCTATATGGTGGCAAAATTCATGCCCATTCTGTTCGCACTAATATTAGCTATGCCACTTCATTGGAATATAGGAAAGGAATTTAAGTCAATTTAAGGTTCAAATGGGAAGGGGGGTATATTGTAAAAAATACTGTGATGAATAAATAGAACATTTTTAAAAGTTAACCCCCTTTACTGTTTGTCAGATATTCCAATTCAAATATTTTTCACTTATAATAGGTTTTATCTTTTATATAGGTATAATAATTATAATTATAATATTAATAATTTTATAAAGGTTTTAATAATAGGTTTTTAAAAAAAAAATGTTTAAAATGTTGGCGTCACGCATGAATAAGGATGCAGTGGAATACAGTGACGAGGCTAGATATTATTGATTCAATATCTAGTGAGATTTTTGTGAAAAAACAAAGCAACAGTATGATGATCATTATGATACATTGCAGTAATATTTTGATACCCTTTTTGAACATAATTACTAATCATCGATTTCACAGAGTTTAAGATTTAGGTGATAGTTGGCTTTATTAGATGTAGCACACATTCCCCCTGCGAAAACTTTGCTTGACCTAAATTAGATCCCTAGCAGACGGTAGCGTTTGTTGTGGGCGTGGTTTAAATTCTCATTGATGTATCTTGTTCACAACCACTGCCAATTACACATTGGTTAGTATGTCTCCTGGTATCTTGTCAAATCTTCCCGATAACCTGAGAAATGTAAACAACACGTAATAATTCTTTTCTGGAAGCGTCTTACGCTACATGTATATAAGGGTTTGACAGATACGGAGAGACAGAGATTCAGATAGATGGATAGATTTTTAACTTTACGAGACCTGTATTATTCTTTGTGTATTTGTGTGCTCGCATGTGTTTATTTCGTATTTGATCATTATTCATTTGGCACATTATACAAACTGTGTACCGGTACAAGATCTACCATACTGTAAGTTGATGATTTGTAATGATATTTCTTTGCTTTTGTAATTCCATTAATACTTAATAAATCTTATTAATTGTGGGTTTTGGGTGTCGTATCTTTAATATTGTTGACTCTATGGTATCGTCCTTTGTTAGGCACTGTTTACAACGAACCAATTAAAATTAAAATAGGAGATTAATTTCTCATATTAGAAACCAGTGCGTAACATTAGAGATATTAATATATTTATTATTATGATAATTATTGCAGAAATTGTACATTCTATCCTGTGATCCCCCTGCCTATAACAGACCTATGAGGGCAGAATCTCCAAAATCAAAAACCTCCCATACCCTCTCAGTGCATAAGTTATATATAACAAGCCTAAAATCACTTAAAAACAAAAAATATTTGCAAATAATTATTAATACCTGAACTTTAATCTGATACTTAAAACAATAGGCAGTAATGATAGTGTCTAATAGCCTTTCCCCTTTAGGGGCCATCCATAAATTACGTCATGCAAGTTATGTCAATCCCCCCACCCCCTCCCCCCATATAATCGTGAAAAATCCTTCTGCCCCCTACTGTCTTTTACAAACCCTTAAATAAAATCACATCCCACGGATATTTATTTATTGATTTATTTAGGCATTTTTGAATAGCGCTTACCTTACAGTAAGTTACAGCTCTAAGCGCTTTACAATTATTAAAAATATGTAAACTATTTAAACTGCTAAAGTAAAATAAAAATGAAACACAACTTACTGCACCTGTGTCAGAGTCAGAAACATTTCCCTAGAACAGTGGTTCTTAAAAACAGGAGTGAAAGTACCCTCTGTGGTGTGAAAGACCCAGAAATTAAATTTCATTTTCTACCATCGCTAGTTTTTCCTACTTTTAACAATAAAATTAGTTTTGATTAGCAGTAGTAAATTAGTTTTTTTACAAGTAAATTTTGTTTTTTCTAGTAAATTTTGTTTGGGCATTACTTGTATTGGTATTTTTGTCATATTTCTAGGAAGTTAATCAAACAAATGAAACTACAATAAATAAATATTTCATTATGTTCATTTTTAAAATTTTATTACAATATAACTTATATTTTATATGGGGTGGAGGGGTTGTGGGAAATATTTTAAAACTAATAGTGGATGCAATGCTGCAAAAAGGTTAAGCTAAAGCATCCATGCCCTGGAACATTTATTAAGATCACACACCTTCTCCAGTGTCAAACATTTTTCGTTCCATCTCACTTCATGTGGTAGCCTATGACTCCAATCTCTACATTGCGACATAAATTCTCACAACTGTCCAAGTCACTACACCCTTATTCTCCTCCTCCATGTAGTCCTGTAACTTGATCAGGTGTCATTTCTGGAACCTCACATACGAGTACCGGCTCTCTAGTTTAAAAATAAAATAATTATAATTTTTGTATAAAAATACAGGTACCGGTACCGGCAATGTTAAAAATGGCTATAATCTAGTGTTAAGTGCAATTTTTTTTTCAAGAATATTCTCTTTTCTTGTGACATCACACAGCTTAACCCCCCCCTCCCCCTCACAAAATGTGCCCCCCCCCCCCCTTTTCACCCCTAGATGCATGACATCATTTATGGATGGCCCTTTGTAATACTTTTTTATATGATTACTGGTATGGTATATAAAATCCCCATCATTCCTGCTGCCTTATCAAGAGTCATTAGGTAATTGAGATAGCTTTTCCCTAATAAATTATAATTACTGTAATACTAACTGTCAATGAAGTAAGTAGATAGCACTCAGTTGTCATTGGTAGTTATCATGGCTTAACTGATGGAGGGCAGGTGGAAAAATGTTGCCACCCCCTCTAGTAGCTTTTCTTTCAACCGATTTGAAGTTTGATACCATTTATTGTTGGGAGAATGAATATTTTACAGTTTTCTATACATCGTTCTTTCTCAAAGAGGATTTAAAGGGAAGGGGGCGCTATTATTAGTTTGTGTAATAAACAGATGGTCCCTAACTTTTAAATTGTTCATGAATAACCTCAAAGGTTTCTGCTGGAAAAAATGTGACTCGATAGGCCTAAACAAACAAAAAACTTTTTAACCCTTAAAAATAAATTGAAATTAGGCCTTGTATTCCACAGAAAAGAAGAATAAAAGAGCTTTTAAGTGAAGACATTCCAGAAGATGAGGCTAAACTGTTATGCAATGGAAGGTAAGCAGTTTGAAAATACATTAGTGTGTCATCATTGTTCATCTAAACTCTTCTTTTTGTTTTAACTAGATAATGATAGTAGTAGTAGTGTACCGGTACAAATTTAAAATATTAATTAGTTTTTAATGGCATTTACTTACTATTACATATCACAGGAATTTTGTTTGTTATGCCATTTTGCTTTTAGTTTGTATCCCTAACTTGTTGGATCTTATGTTATCTTTTAGTGGAGTTCATGTTAATCTTTTAATATTTTGTTTTAAATTAGGTTTGCCTGCACAGTCTGTCAACATAATCCTATTTTCGACACGGTTAACATGCTATCCATTCACCGCAATGGAAAAAAGCATCTTTTTTGTAAGAAATTTTTTTTTAAATTTAAATTTCATTAATATTTATCGCCTGGCTGAGAAATTGTATTGTATTACTAGTATTAGTATTAAAATAGTCGTATCTAGTTGATTTTACTTACACTACCAGACCTGTTTACTCTTACGATTTTGGCGTACAATGTACGATTTTGAGGTGTACCTGTAAACATTATATATGCTGTGTGTTTTTTACTACCAGTATTAAGTTAATGTATTGAACGATTTTATGGTGATATTGTACAATTTAAAGAGTTGGAGGGTAAACAGATCTGCACTACTTACCGTACCATACATCCATTCCTGAAATATTATAACAGTTGTTTCAAAACATTTCATTTTTATCATATGTGTGGAAATAAATTAAAAACCGTCTTGTTTAAATTTTAATTCCATTTATACCGGTAATGAAATTATTCCATTGTTTCTTCTTTTCTTGTAGGCTATGAAATTTTCATGAATAAAAAGAAGGAATTAAAAAATCTCATAGCGATAAGGAAACAGGAGCTATTTCTAAAAGATGGATCAACAGCTATAAACACTGTCAGTGTCAGTTTTTTGTCATGCATCAAAATTTTCTCTATTAATTTTATAACATAAATATTAAAACTAAATTTTGCACTTTTATTTTCAAATATTTATTTTAATAAGTCTTTTTTCTATAATTTGCAATGAAGAGAGCATGTACCATTACTAAACTAAAAGCTATATGAAAAATACTTCCCTAAATTGTTGAATGGGGAAATTTTGTCCCCTGTTAAGTATCTGTCTCTTTTTAATTTAGTGCAGCTTTTGATATAAAATAAAAAATACTATTATTTTTTTAGAAGTGACTCACTTAATTTACTATAACTGTAAAATGTTTTGTTAATAAAACTTATTAAGTAAAATATACATTTGTACAAGCAGCCTTACTGGAAATTTTATTTTTCTTAAATTTAAATGAATGTACCTAGTACCAGGTACCGGTACTGAAATACTTGGTAATAAATAAAAAGTTTATGTTTGTAACAAAGAAAGTTTGAAAAATTAAAATGTTAATCAACCAAGGCTGAGCCTTTCTAAAAGTGTTCTCTATTTATAATAAAATAAATTTGTACAGTCGCTAATGTTTGAAAATTTTGTTCCTTTAACACAGGCTAAAGAAGATTTCAAAGGAATTCTGACTTCAAGCCCCTATGATTCTAGAGTTAAAAAATCCAAAGTTAGAAACAGTGAAGCCACCAATTCATCAAAAGATGTCACAAAATCAAAAACAGATATTTCTGGTTGTTCCTCTCATTGGGCGAATATGTGCAAAAATCAAATTTCAGGTCCAGTGATGCATGACTATAAACTAAAAAGTATATTTGAAAGGCAAACAGAAACCCCTGTAAGGATTGTGCCTTATCAATCAAAGCATATGCTTAATTTAAAGACTTCATGTATGCAATCCAAAGATGCACACCATGTCCAAATTAAATTTACCACAGCCAGTAAACCAGCGTATGAACAAAATGATATACCATCACAAACAATTAATTCAAATGTAAGACTTGATTCATCTCAAACTTCTGCTGCAACTGGTCAAACATCAAGCAAACATACAGACTCTGTGAAAAGTAAAAGTCATCCTACCTCAACTTCATCAAAGCATTCAATGTATGCTAACAAGACATTTAAAAGCCAATCACAAAAGAACATTAAGTCCCAAAAATTGAAGCAGGATTTATGTAAAAAATTCAGTCCAAAAATAACAGAGCAGGCATCTGTCACTCATAAATTAAGGCAGCTGCAAGGGTAAGTTCGTGGTGAATAAGATTAAGAATTCATATTTTTATAATTAGTAATAACTGGTACTCATAATATAGTTTGACTTTAGATTTAGAGTAAATAGAACTAGTCTGAAAAGCTCTTACTTTAATCTTTTTCCGTAAAGATTGATCCTAATTAAATTTTTATTTACCGTGTACCTGGTAAATGTGGTTATAGTTTTGGAGGTACTGGTACCAGTAGCTGTAGTTGGATCTTAAGTTGTTGAGTTTATTGAGGTGCTACATGTCTTTCCCATATATACCGGTACTTTGATGCAATTGTAACCTCTTTTTAAAAAAAAATACAAAATTAAGCTACTTTTATTTTTAATAACCAGCAGCATAAGGGGACATCCATATTCATATAGTCATATAGTACTTACCAGGTGCACACTGAGAGTGGGGTTCTTGATTTTGCCTACACATGCATGACAGGGGGGTGGGGTGCAGAAAAGACATACTCATACATTTATTCCCAAATTCTACTAAAATCATTCTGAAACTCTCAACAGTCCACAAATAGCATAGTTATACCTAATGCTGTAAACATATCAGTCATAATGGTACCAGTACCTTTCACAAATGAACTCGCTTGATAATTGATATGCCTCGAATTGTACTCGGCATTATTCAGTAATATTTTTAGCACATTCCTCTTGCTGTCCTCTCGGATAACACGTTAAAGTTAAATGTTACTTTTATTTACTCAATTCTGTTTTTACTGTTTGTTCGCTGATAAAGGTTTTAGTGATGGGACGATTAATCGGAATCGTATCGGAATAATCGAAATATCGGGATTTTTCCAAAGCATCAGGGAATCGGTATCGGAGCTGAATAATTCAGACCCGATTCCGATATTCTTAACTGATTAACTGCCGTAAGCCAGTGACAGCGCAAAGTTTGTTTCGCATTATATTCTTTTTGTTCCAAATAGCATATTGTAAGGCTTCAATAGCAAGTTAATAAACTTTTCTAATCAATGCTCATATTAATTAAATATGTTAATACCTGGGCACAGTAATACATATATGTAATAATGGCCAGGAATGGGAATTGTATCGGAATCGTTAAAAATTTTGGTATTGTCCCATCACTAGTTTTCTTGTGGACATGTTCATCGTTTTGTTGCGCTCTTTTTTTCCAGGTTCTCCCATACCCGTACTTCGTTTCATTTCACTCATTTCCAGTACTGGTAATATTAAGTCCACTCTATCTTCAACGTGCGTGTGACGTATATTTTTACCGGTACATCAGTTGACTCCTGGTGCTCTTGCCGAATTTAGGTTTTCAACAGGCACCTGGTGATAAATTCTAACCACACCTCAAAATAGCGAATATATAAACAAATTAAAATGTGGGTGAAAATAAACGTAACAATAAGTATCATCTAGAAACAGTACTGGTAGCTACTCAAGCAGGTTACTAGAGTTACTGATACTGTTTGCACCACCGGCATTAGATGTTCATTGGATTAATTAATGAATGTAGAGATAAAATTATGAAATTGAGGAAGCCGAAGTAACCCAGGACAGGGCCATGCCGTGGAAAAGTGGGGCCTGGTGTTATTCGGCTCTCGCCACTTCTGGGGACAACAGCCCTAGTCCCTCAATTCTCATGGCTCTGCTGGAGGGCAATGTGGCACACACAGCGTATGCTCTAGGAACCACTGAGCTTATTTTGTACCAGTATGTCCAACATACTATCACTATATTTTGTTATATATGGATGGCCTCAATGAGATTTCATTTATAATTATTTCTATTCTAATTCTAATCTCTTTTAGTTTTAGTACTGGTGATCTTAGCTTAATTTTAACACCTTGTAATTTTTACAGGTCTGGTTGGAAAAGGGACTGGGATGGTAAATGGATAAAAGATGAAACTGCTGAATTTGATTCCGATGAGGAACCTCCAGATATTCCATTTCAGATTGCACTCTTGTAACTAATGTGATTATAAATGCACAGTGAATTATTTTATGTGAAACACTGGTGGTATTTTGATAATACATTATATTTTGAATATTTTTATTGGGTTAATTAATGAACCATAATCTTTTCTATTTTGTAGCATTCTTACAAAATAATTTCCTTTTGCAAATGAATGAGACACTGAGTTTACATGCATGTTATCCCTTAAATGAAGGCTTCTTAATTAAAAATACATTTATTTTTAGAACATCTCAAAATTGTACAATTATCAAACATTTTAAAAGTGCAACAATGTAATGTTATGTGAATTTTTAGCTTCCCACAAGTGTTGAGGTATATTTCTTTCTATTAATATTTTAATACAAATAATACAGGTAAATAAATACCATTTGTTTGTAAATTTCAATTTTAAGTTTTGATTTTTCGATTTACATTGCACAGCACTGGTATTCATTTTTAAAAAAGCAATTAAGTTCTTTGCTGAATACAAAGAATGCTTGCCTTGAGATCCTCTTTATCTGAAAAGTTCAGCAAAGCAATCTCATTGAAATCTGTTTTTGGTGTTGTTTTAAAAATCACAGGTATCGGTACCCAATACTCTTAAAACTCCCTATGGATTGGATACCATGTGTCAAGAAAATTAAATCAAATGGCTGCAGTGGTGCTGCAATGAGAAATAAAGTTTTTATTCTGTACCGGTACAGTAGAATATTGTGATTTTTATCTGACTGGTAATTGGTTTGTAATTTTCAGTACTTTTACTTAGATTAAAAAATTGATTTTTTTTAGTCAAAAGGCATATACCGGTATCATTAATATCAATTTTTAAAAAAGCTATGATTTCAGGGTAAATTTGAGGAAAGGCATCTTGGGAAAACCTGGACCCAGCAGCAATAGTGCAGCGATTTGAAAAATTTCAGTACATGTCTCTGATTTTCAAGATATGCACACTTATAACTAGTAATAAAATACACCAAACAGCAAAATAACATTTTGAATTTTATTGACAACAAAGATTTAAGTAATACTGGTACATCAAAATAAATTCATCTCTTGAAATTTGTTTAAGGTTGAAAAATGATAAGATTGCAATAACATGAGTACTAATTAAAACCACTGATACTTGCATGGTGTGAAATAGTAAAACTGAAACGTTAAAATTCTTATTCTCTCTATCATTCTGAGTCCCAGTAGATCTGCCCAAAGAAGTGCAATGCTGCTGATTATCAGCCAGTGTGCAATGTCTCTAAAATGCAAATGTCTATGGCTATGTAGTGATTGCCCATACAATCACAATTACTAGCAGACACATTCTTACATAATTACATTAAGGTTGACAGAAAAACTAGCAGGTGAATCATTTGCAATTTATGACAGAGGTGCAATGCTGAAATACAGCTGCTAAGGGCAGGCCAGGATATTTGTTTACAAACTAAATTACCTGCCAGTTTACCTGCCAAAGCCAATTCTGCGTCCCTGAGAAGCCTGAAAAATATTTTAAAATTAAGTAAAATCCTCATTTTCTAACATCAGCAAACAAAAGTATTATTATAGTTTAAAACTATATCCGCACTACGCCACATTTTTATATCCACAATCTGATCTGCTTCTTTATTATAACATGCAACACCAGTATCTGGATATAAAGTGTGAAGTTAAAAAACTTTGGAAATAAATTGTTACGGGTATTAGTACTACTAAATACAACCAGAAATTTTAAAACATGTTTTGTTTTTTAAATAATGTATTATTTATTAAAAAGCAATTAAATTATCTTTTAAGGCAATTAAAAAATAAAAAGATACCTGGTAATATTTAAATTAATATTTAGAACAAAAAATACAATTTTTATACCAAATAATTATTTCTTTGCAAATGTAATCTTCATGGCATTGGTTGGTGTGATCTTGAAACTCTGCAATGCATCCTTAGCGGCTCCAGCTTGCACATCAGTTTCAAATTCCACAAAGGCAATATCATGTCGTCCAGGCACCAAACGTACTTCTTTAAATCCAGGGAACCTTAACATTTGAGGCATAAATAATAATTAATGTAGAATAATAGCAGTACAAAAAAAATGATCTACAACTTTGGTCAGATAATTAGAATGGTCCAATATTCTTTAAAAAAACGAAATTCAGAGTTGTTCCAAACTTTACAAAATAATGAATTCTTAAATTTAGCTATCATCCTTATTTTATAGTAAAAAAAAGGGTTCCCACTCTTTTTTTTTCTTCTCTCTTTTAAATCCCCTTCATGTACTTTTCCCAATTAAAAATGTAAAAATTCTTGACTATCGCAATGCCATGGTTTTGTTGATAATATAAAAAAAAATATGGAAATACAACACAGATAAACAAAATTATGCAATAAAGGTGTATGCATGTAAATATTTAATTTCCTAGTCCTAGCAAAAAGTTGTTCACTTTTTAAGTGCAAGGGAAACTTTTGCATATTTGTTCTTCAGGGCATTTTGGAACATACATATAGCAACTGCAGGCAGAAAGCATCTTCTCATATATGGAGTCAATGTTTTCTTCTTGCGATAAAAATGGATAGTTTAAGTGAACACACTTTAGTGTCTTTAAAATATCTCTTTTTGGGTTTTCGCTATTTGGATACATAAAAAGGGAGCTTGTGTAAGAAGTTGCAGAAGTGGACACCAAAGGAAGGTGATAAAGCTGAACTGGACAGATGAAGTCTCAGATGAATGAAGTTTATTAAACAATTTACCCCTCTGGTCTATCAAAGCAGTTCGGTACAAAATTTCATCTCAGAAACCTGTGCTCAAAGCACTTGCCAAGTTAATGGGAAACCACTAGCATTGTGGCAAAATCCTTGAAATAGGAAGGGCTAAATCTGCAATTAATGTCCTTTGTCATTGAATCCAAATTGATTTAATTTTTTTCTTCTTCAAATTTTAAAAATTCTAGACTAGTCGAACAATATCCTTAAGCAATTTCTCCGGTTTTCACAACCAGGAATTTTTTAAAAAGAATTCTCAACTATTTTTTGTTTTCCAGTCTGTGTGGAAACTATGTTAAAAATAATTATACTATAAATAAAAATTATACATAAACTCACTGGTTAAAAAGCATGCACAGCATCATTTCAGTAGTCTCTTCTGGTAAATTAGTGATAAACAAGATTTGATTTGGAGGCTGCTCTGGAATAGCACTAATAGTTGGAGGTGCAGTTTGTGGCAATGTCGAAGGTGCATTAGGTGCTGCAGGGTTCAGTTGTGGTGGTGCTGAAATTAATGCAATTATAATGCTGGTACATTAAAAAATAAATCCATTTGATCGAGTTAAAAGGATATGCTTTTTAGTACTTTAAGACCCCCTGCTAAAAGTACTCAAGTCAAATTTTTGTCAAAAGTAAACTAAATGGTGACCCTTTCTTATCCATTTTAGCCACATGTGATTTTAATGCATAAATTTGAACACATTTAACAGACCTCTTTTTAAATCAAGCCAAAAATAAGAATGAGCAAATTTTATGGACAAAGTTACTGAAGTCCTATAATTATGTGCTAAAAGTTTGATCCATTTATAAGAAAATGCACTTTAAGTACTTACGTCTTGGTGTTATTTGAGGTGGTGGACCTTGTGGGGCCTGAGGACCTTGACCAGAATCAGAAACTCCTTGAGACCTGAGAAAAGAGTACTATAATGGTTTTAAAAATGTTATAAGATTAGTTCAGGAGTTTGAAAAGAAAACGAATAAGCATGTATAAGAAATTTGAAAAGAAAAAAGAATAACTTTAAAAAAATGTTTTACCTGGACTTCTTCTTGCGCTTCCCCCCCTCTTCATCGTGTTTTTCTCTTGTCCTTTTAGGCTGTTCAACATAAGTTCCTTTTAATTTGGCGATTACTTCTGAATCTTTTTTGGCAAATTGAATTCTCTGTAAAATAATTTGAATTATATGAATCGGTTAATCCTTGTGAAGAGTAATTCATTGAGTGTTATTTTGTAAAAAATAGGCTTTCCATCTAAAATGCTAACTAACACTAATATATATATAAACATACATACAAATACAATATATTTATATACATACAAATATATATAAATATTTGCATCTATGTATAAATATATATGCAGTATACATACATACACTATATATATATATAAGTATGTCTTGTGTACCGGTATATACATATGGTACATACATACATATATGTTATGAAAAAGTAACTTATGAGGTTTTAAAATACACAGATCTCTATGTTTCAGTTTCAAAAACATTTTTATTTATTAAATTTTAGTAAGTCTGAGGATGAAAAAAGTTGAGGAAAATACACTATATACTATATAACGCTAAGTATTCCTAATAATTACATGAAAAAATTTATTTTGTGTAGTTTTAAAGTTTATTCAATTTTGATTCAGGTGGGAGGTGTGTTATACATGATGATGCCAGATGTCTAGAAAAGTAATGCTGGACCTAAGCCCAAAAACCATTTAAAAGCTAAAAATTTAACTTACACTTACAGTATCTGTTCAATAAATAATACCAATAAAACTTAACCATATTTACTTTTCATTAATGAAAATGAGTTTTAAAGAATTAGAAAGTACAACCAATGGACCATTCACTAAATATACTTATCATATTAAGACCATTGCAGCATGTATAAAAAAATTTAAACATCTAGGTTATCCTAATTAATCTAAACTTGAACACTAAAATTTCTATCAAATATAAATATATTAACCTAACCATTGGTTTGTCATAGAATGGAAAACCTTGCATAGACCGTAATGCATTTGCTGCACTGTTAATTTCTTTAAATATCACAAAAGCTTGACCCCTCATCTTCAAGGTTTTTAGTGCTACAATATCCAAAATTTGTCCAAACTGGGAAAAGATTGCATACAGAGATTTCTTGAGTTCTGGGGGGAAAAATATATCAAATTATTGCACATTTCAATGCCACAAGTCTTTTGTAAAAAAAAAATAAATGTATATATAATTACCGGATAGTATAGGTTCCCTAGCAGCGTTTTTCAACCATCGAGGCAACCTAAGCAAAATAATTTATTCCCACATGTTTTTCGTAACTAAATAAATATATTTCGTGAATAGCAATTGCCCCTTTAAAAGATCTGATGAAGGCAGCTTACTGGATCAGCCGGAACTGACTTTTAAAACTCCTGCTGATAATTTCACATCCCCAGCAACTATACGTTCTCATCATGGAACACCCACATAACACTGTTTCAAACATGGAGCTTTTTTTCAAGATCCTCTTGACCAAACTCCTCTTCATGATCACTCAAGCACTTTTTCAAAGACTGCCACAGGGTAGTGAACACACATTCTAGGTTTGAAAACAACTGTTGAGCATCATTTATATCCAGCCAAATACTTTGGCAAAGGTTCCAATCTGTGAAATGGTCATTGGGGTGTGTACAACTTCATAAACCTTATTTTTACCATTTCCTGCTAATTGTTCATTGATTACAAAGTAAACGACCATATCTGAATTTAAGACACTTTGAGCAAGATAGAATGGTAATACTCCAACCTTAAGGGTTGGACCGAAATGTATGACAACCTTAAGGCGTGCTCAATCTTGAAAGATAAAGAGGAGTAACCACCTACATGAGTTATAACCAAAAAATCACCAGCTATGGTACCTGACTACTAACATCATTTCCTTCAGTAGCATGACAAAGTGTCATACTTGTTCATGTACAGTATTTAAGTACAACTGAGAGTGCAAACGTGCAGCATGCCAACTTCTCTGAGCCAGAGATGCATTTGTTGGCTCAGCCCTTTGAAGAGAATAGACCCAGGTCGCAGTGATTAACACTTTGTCAATCTGGCATATGGGGCATTAACCACTGGATGGGGCCACATCTTTGCTACAAGGACATTCGCAAATGAAATTTGAAGGTAGCCAGCATCAGCACCAACTATTGGGAGGA